CCCCAAAACCCCAAAACCCCAAAACCCCAAAACCCCTTTTGATCAATAAAGTAATGCAAGAATCATCTAATTATAAATTATATCTTGACTTTGTACCATGAGTAGACAGTTCCTTTAGGGAACTTCCTAGACCTCTCGTATATTTCAATGCTAGTGCCTGGTCTCCTCTGGCTCCGCCTAAGGTTAGGTAAGGAAGGTACCTGAGACTCTCTCCGGTGGTTGAAGGGAGGCTGGAGTTGAATGATTGGTATCAGACTTTGTCCATTTTCTTTGCCAAAAATTCACTTTCCATTGCCAAGATCCTCTCTATTACTTTCTTCTTTGCTCCTAGGGATTAGAGGGGCGAGGTACCGATTGAATTGAAGTTCTTGATCCTTCTTTTAAGAGCCTTACCTTGTCTGCTAACAAGGTTAGGCCCAGAGACTAATGCTGAGTACTTCTTCAGTAGAGCTAAGTACTTTACATAAAAAGAGAGACTTTTCATCTTTTGAATATCCTTTAAATTTAGGTTAGAAATTCCATCACGATCTACAAGTTAGGCCAGGAGGCTGTACTTAAATGATTCAGGACTCTTGAAATCGCTGTAATTCTTGCCTGCTTCAGCCCAGATCTCATGCCTTCAAGGGCTAAATTGTTTATAGGAAGTTCTTACCTTTGAGTTTCTCTTGAAGTTTAGTTTTTATGTACTGAACCTTGTTCTCCAAGAACCAGTCTGGAACTCTATAAGTTATTAAATCCAATGACTCACTCCTCATTTTTGATATTGACTGAAACAGATGCACTCGAGCAGTCCAAATCCAGTGTTGGTTTGGCTCTCTTGTTCACTGAATTGAAGTTATTCGACTCAATATTCAGGAAATTTGTGAACACTTGGCCTCATTTATTCCTAGATGTTAGAGCCTACTCTTACTTAGAGTAGCAAGGACTGAATTTGCTAGGAGATCTTTCTTTACTGCAAAGTCTTAGACCGAGACTGCTCCCTCAATCTTCATTTATATTTGGAAGTAAATCCCTGATCTTTGCAGTTGAGGAGTGCTTGAATTTGGGAATTTTAGGGGCCTTATGACACTAAAGATAAATAAGATAGCTTACAAATTGTGACAAAGTAGAAGAATACATTAGAGAGCTTCTCTTATCAGGCTTAATAGAACTGTTCATCTTCTTGAATTTAGACAGACTCCTCTCCTTGCTGGCTAAGACTAGACTTGACCTCTTTGATTCTAATAATACTGGTGTCTGTAAGACTTCTTGGAAAGACTGATCCTTCTTCTTTGAGGATTTTATTAGTCTCGAATCTAGCTTTTTAATGTTTCTAAAAAGATTAGAAATTACTCTTTTACTTCTCATTTGGCGCTCTTAAAGCCATTGTCAGCTTTTTCCTTAAGGATTTATACTTTGGGAGTATGCCTGAGTTGTTCTAAAGATGTCAGTGAGCTTAGAAGATCTAGTGAAGCAGCTCAGATTCGCAGTAAAATTGAATTTTATGGAAGTAAAAATTGGAGAAATAGATGAACTACGTGCTACCAAACCATTTTTTTCTTAAACCTTTATGAGAAGAATTTAGGATATTTCTTAGGTATGGGTACTAATAACATAGTATTGCACTTTAACCAAATAAATATCTTAGAAGAGCAATTATTAATGATTGAGAGTGCTAACTCATCTCATTAGTCAGAGAGTGTTTACCTTAAATCTGCTTTTTAGTCCGGAATTTCTCTCACGATACTCCACTTAATAAATTAACAATTAACGCATACGTAACCGTTCAATATTGGGCTCTTCAAGATCTACTGAGTGGTATCTCATATCTTTCTGAGAATATGGTGCTGGCCTCTCGTTCAACGACTGAGGTCTATATTTACTAAAATTATTCCAAAAGTCGGTGAATCCTAACATTAAAGCCAAATTTTATAGAAAAATAGGCAAAATATACCACCTCACCATTGGAAGGTACAAATCGATGGCACTTGTCCCGTTAAATTTTGTGCTGGGTCAACAAAATGAAGTTTCGTAACTGTACCTGGTATCAAAATTCCTCTTAGCCTTCTTTGATTCTTTATTGCTAGTTTTCACGATTCTACATCAACTGTCACAAAAAGGATTGGATTATGAAGAGATTTTATACAAATTCTTAGCAAAAGAGTTCATCAATGGTTAGTCTCAATTCTGGAGGCATTAAATAGATGACTCTGTTTAACCATTATATAACATTGACAACATTGCATTTCCAGGCTTACATTTTCTTCAAAAGTGTCTCTCTACCATCATCCTGAGGGAAGAGCTGCCTGTAGAATACACCCCAGTAGGACTTCTGTTCCTGTTTCACATCCAAGAAATCCTATAATGAGTGAGGAGATGTTATAAGGTAAATAACCTACTGGAATACTTGAGTTGCAACCACTTTGCATACTATTAAGTAATTTGAAGTCCTTCAGGACGCTGTCTTGCCCACTAGTGTTCTTATCATGATTATCTAAAAGGTCTAGTTAGGTTTCTTAAGTATTTAAGAGAATTTTAGAAGGTTTCATACCGCCACTGTTTATACTTTTTCCTTGCTTTTTCTATAATGATGAATTCAGAGATATATTAAAACTTACGTTCATGGAGAGTTTCATGGGTATTGCAGTGCAGACACCCTTCTTCTTAATCTTAGTGCTACTAGTGTGCAACCTGGATCTCCTCACATGCCTTTGTCTCTATAAATTGGTTATGGATTATGAAGAGAGGTTGTGTAAACCATAAAATTTGTGTAAATTTTTGACCCAATATAGATAAAAACTCAGTATTTTCTCAGAACTCCAAACTCGAGCAGAATGCTTGCAGGATCAAGGGACTAGTGGAGCTGAGAGGTTTTAAGTAAATTGGGTCAGTTATGGTTCTCAGATCTGCACAGAAAAAGATCATAAAAATCAAACTATTTCATAATATAATACATGTGATGAAAATTCCACATTGTGTTAAAGAATTAATAGTTTTTAATAAACTAAGTTATGCCTTTGCTTGTTTTTGCAATATCTTATATCAAGGTTTTAGAAAATAGGGTTACCCAACTATTCCACCATCCCAAAATTTTGCTTAATTATAAGTTCGTATAATACTAAAAATTGGGCTAAACATCCCTAAATTTTCCTTTAATAGTCCATAGAGAATGAGACAGTCCAGGTTGACTAAAGTTCAGAGCATTCTATTGAAATAATCATCAAACCATTCTAATGCTCCTCTTCATGCCTTCTAGAGCTAGTGCTAAAAGTACTCGAGCTTAGCTCTATCTAGCAGGAAGACAAACGGATGGATCAACTTATTTCCTGGCATACCTGGGCATCCTTGAGGTCTGACTTATCATGCTTGGGCAGATAGGATTTCTTTGAGTAATAACTTGTCTTCATATTGCTCATATTTTCTATAAAATTATTCAATTTACATACGAACTTCCGGGGTTTTGGGGTTTTGGGGTTTTGGGGTTTTGGGG